TCCTAAATAGGGGGGGCATCGTTATAAACCCGCCGCCGTACCATTTGGTTCGCATGTTTCGTCAGCTTATCCGAAACTGCGTTCGGGTTTTTACACTAAACGCAAGCCGCGGGTCGACCTTTGCGGCCGGCCCGCAAGTCTCATTTCAGGATAAGCGACTTATCAAGCGACTTATCATGAAATGCACAAACTGTCCCAAACGGACCCACAGTTAGGTTACAGGGAGTTTACATGGGGTATAACGAGATTATAACCTCTCAATACCCTCCCTGTAACCTATTTGGGATACTGTCATACATCATAAGCAAAATTAAAAAAAAAAAAAAAACAGAAAAGTTCTCAAATTCTTAAATAAAAGAGTTCTCAAATTCTTAAATAAAAATTGATTCACGGAAAAAAAAACGTTTTTTTTCGATAATTATGAAACAAGAATGCTCCAGATTCAGATTGAAATCGCCCAAATCATCAAAAACGAGAACCAAAACAGAAGAAGAAGAAGAAGAAAAAGAATGGAAGGATTTGCATACCTTGATCTCTGGAATGAAATAAGCAATGTTGCAGAGGAAAGCGAGCTGCCCGAAGAGCTTAGTCTCCGCCCACGATGCTTTGTTCAATAACCCGGAGAACTCCTCCCGATCCCATTCTTTCTGCTCCTCCTCAGACTCGTAGCTCACTCCGCAGCCATTATCATCATCCTCCCACTTCACCCCCTCTGCTTCTCCCCTCCCATTCCTCTGCCGAAAATCCTTCCATCGACTCCGAATCTCGCAGATCCTCTGCACCCAATTCGCTTTCTTCTTCGACAAATTCTCATCCTGAAAACCAGCAGCGATTTCCTCCTCGCTTTCCTCCGCATCAAACAGGCCGACATCCTCTGGCTCGAAGATCAGCGATCGGATCGAGCTGGGGAGGATCGATCCTGAAATACCCAACGGAAAGGCTCCGATCGATCGACTTGCCTTCAATCCATGCGAAGCTGCCGCGAGCCGCGAAACTCTGAAAGAGCACCGCAGCAGCGGCTCTGATCGCGATCGACGCAGCCCGAGTCCGATTCCGAGCTCTGCATCCGTCGCCGGAGAAACAACGGACGTTCCCAAGGCTGCAAATGTCATGGCGGCAGCGGCTCCGTTTCTCCGATTTGATTCAGAGATTCTTCGGCCCCTACTGCTCTGGTTCTGGCCTGCTTCTCAAATCGGGGAGGAGTTCTAATTTTGGTTGGGGATCGTTTCTTCCCGTTGTGTTGGGAACGACATTTGCCATTTTAAATGGAGTGGAGCCCTCCAAATCACCCAAATTATTTATTTATTTATTTTGTTTCATGGAAATTAACATTAATTACTTCTCAAGTTAGAAATTACATTTCAAAATTTTAATATTCAAGTATGTAATAATAAAAATTTTAAAATTAAATAAAAGTATCAATAATATGCAATTAATAAATTCACCACTTGGAGAGGATGAAAGTGAAGTCCGTTGTTCCATGTCGAATGTCCATTGAACTCCACCCGCTCCGCTGACCATCACCGACCACTGCTCGCAGGACGTCGTCAAACACTATTGACCACCCCTGCTCGTTGCAATGAAGCCATTTACGGAGTAACAACGTACACTGCGGAGTACGAAGCATCGTACAAAGTAACGACCAACGTTATAATGTCGCTCTCTCCTAAGCCATTGTAATAATGCCTCAAAGAAACTGTAATGCACATAAAGTGTAGCAACACACATCGAAGATGGTGTTATAATGCATCATGAAGATGATGTAACAACACACTCGATAATAATTGTTTATATTTTTGTCGCTCTCTCCTAGCAACTCACTATTATGGCCTACATGACCAACTACGGCCTATGTGGTCTATGGATCATACATCTCCCAAATTCAACCTCTATTGCTTACGAATAACATCACAGCTCATGCTACTCACAACTCCAGCCTCTGTGATCTATGAACACTATCACAACTCATACAACTCTTAACTCTAGTATTTGTGACCTACATACATTATCACAGCTCATGCAGCTCCTAATTTTAAATATTAGATATATAAATACAAAGAATTAGATGGTATGCCACATACTCCCTCGTGATATCCGCCGCTTGGTACGAACAAAACATGTTCTAAGAAGAGTGTGGATGGCACTTGGAAAAACCTCAAGACATATATTGCTTGAGAAAACATATACATATTGCTTGAGAAATTTGAGGCTTTATAATAGAGGTTGGTGGACGAAATTAATATAGATGAACAAACATGGTCATGCAATTCATCTCTCAACACTTGGCCAGCTAGCTTGCACCGAATATATATCATATCGCCACCGGATGATCTTATTATTATTATGAAAGGAGTTAGATTGCAATAATAAGGAGCTTTTTAGATGGAAAAGATAGGAGCCCCTTTACATTTAGGGTCTGTTTGGGGCAGCTGCAGCTGTTTGAAGTAACAACTGTAAAGCTACGGTGACTGTTACTATTTTTTTTTTTTTTTCTTTTGAAAAAGTTAGGCCACGGCTTTCTCGCAGGCACCGTAAATAGCGAGACTTGATGAGAAAACATAATTCTTTGTTGTAGATTTTTGAGAACATTGTCAAAACACAATGTTGCCAAAGTAAAAAAACTGTGGTGCGACATCAAACTGTTCTTAATATCACTCCCTTTTTATATATAGTTGAGTTTCTATTAAACTTTATCACATATTAATATCTAGAGATATGCAGTTATCCTTTTCGTCCAATCATTATAAAAATTGAGATCGTGTCTTAGATTTCTTCTTCAAAGTCAACTAGAGGCAATAAAGGATCGAGATGCTTTTCTTTTTAGAGGACTTTGTATTTGGCCATCAGCTTTCGTTCTCGGTGGCCGATTTGCCATTTGAGCTCTCGATACTTGGCCTTCGATGCTTGATCTTTAGCTCCCTATCCATCTCTACTCAAAAATTTGTCGTTCAAAGTTAGTTCACTTCATCATCTACACATGGACTCATCCTTTTATCAATTGGTAATTGTATGGGATCTGTTAATTGGAGGCTACTCGTGTCAAGCTGGCACGAGTAGCCCCCAAGTATATTATAGATGTGATTTTAATGGTGTAAATGAGATGAGTTTGGGAGATTATCATTAACTTAGAATGTTTTTTCTTAACCTTATTTAACTCAAGTTTAACCCTACTTAGTTTCTTAAACTCATATAGTTATCAAAAGTTTATTCAAAATATATGAAAATTTGAAGGTCAGAATTTTCTTAATTAAGCATACGAGACCCAGTTATGATTAACTCACAACTCGTTAATATATGCAAGTGAAAAAATGTTATAATATAATAGATTTTCACAAAATTATTCATTTTTAATTATTTTATTTTATTTCGATGTGAAAGACATCTAGTATAATATAATTATATTGAAAAAATTAAAAATACAATCATATTATACTCCATGTAATAACTTCTATTACACATTTATGGTCCGTTTGGGGCAGCTTGTGAGTTTCAGGATAAACTGCTTATTCTGAAAAGCGGCCCACGGGCCGACCGCAGGGGTCGACCCGCGGTCTGCGTTTAGTATAAAAATCCAAATGCAGTTTCGGATAAGCGTAGTTTCGGATAAGCTGGTGAAACGCGCGAACCAAACAGTACAGAGACGTTTTGAAAACGCCGCTCACACTTATGACCTGTCCCAAACGGACCCCAAGGTGTGCTTTTGGGTCAATTTGTGCTTATTCAAATAAGCAGATTATCTTGAAACGCGACCTGCGGGTGTCCCATGGGGTTCAATCCGGGGCCTACGTTTAGTGTAAGAAGCCAACTGCATTTTTCGATAAACTGCTGAAACGTGTTTTCCAAACGGTAAAGCGTTCTTTTAAACATATCACCCTCCGAATTTAGAAATAGACGACAAGGAGGCGGTGTGTCACGGACAAATAGTCCCACATCGGCTAGGTGTAGGGCCGAAAAGCAGTATTTAAGTCCTGGGCTGCCCACCACCCATAAGGGCTCTTTTGGGAGGTGACAAGTGGTATCAGAGCAGACTACTGCCTGCCAGGTGTGTGGACTCTCCATGGTCCAGTGGGACCCTCGGTGGAGCCGATCCGTGACGAGGGCGTCACGTGATTGGGTGGAGGAGAATGTCACGGCCAAATAGTCTCACATTGACTAGGTGTAGGGCCAAAAAACAGTATTTAATTTCTGGGCTGCCCACCTCTCTTAAGGGCTATTTTGGGGTTTGAGTCGCGCCTCTCAACGCGGGGCCGCACCTTCCCGAGATGCGTGCGGATCCATCTGGAATCTCCTACACAATTTGGGAAGTCTTGACGGGAAATTCCATTTTTAAGCTTAAAAAATTCCGACTTTACTTGTAGCATTACACTTATTATTAAATAATGGAGAGATTGCATGCATGCCACATTATTTTTATATTTGTATATCCCATATATATCTATATATATATCATATACAATATTAACTTTTGGGATTTCATATTAATGTTAAGTGTTCCTTATTTTAATTTTGTCAACTAAACTATGGGATTATTAACATCTTAACTCTACTATCATAATATCACATTTATTTCTTGATGCATTTTTTGTACCAAATTAAGCTAGAGATACTTGGGTCTCATTAATATGAGTTTATTGATTCTTCTTTCAAGGTTGAGAAGTAAAAAACTGCAAAATTTTGTTTTTATAGAGCGTTTGTTGAAGTTTTTTGTAAAATAGAGTCCTGCATCGTCTGTGAGTACATACAATTCGATAAATATCTTACTTTAATTTAAGAGAGATATAAGAGAGATGTGTATGAGGCTTAAGAGAAAGTCTCAAAGATTGTGTATTGAACTTGAATATCCTGTAAACTTGAAAAATAATGGCTCATGAGAAGGTTGTCAGTGGCACTGACATGCACTTAGCGTCGGAAATATTCCAACTTTAATCCAACGCAAATCTGTAAGAAAAATAAAAAAAATACAACAAAACGATTATATTTTCACACATCTGTATAGAACAAACGTAAGCAATATAATTTGACATAATTTTATATATCATCATAAGTGATAAAAGAAAGCTCTAACATATCTAACTAATGATACCAAATTAAATTAAAGATAAACCAATTAAAGTGTTCAATGTTCAGAGCTACAAAAACTAAAAGTTCGATTACACAGAAATGATAAAAACATATAATTAGCCCCTTTATCCGGGGAACATCATCAAACAGATAAGAAAATCATAATCTTCATCATCATCATCATGCTCATCATTCTCCTTATCCTACTCGACAACACCTATATTTCGATTGCTTCAGCGATCAAAACCCTCGTCAGGTGTGCTAGACTATTTGTAACCATCTGCTGGCATTCACACATATGTTCGAGCTCTTCATTCATCATCATGACTCACATGAAAAGCTCCTCATGCTAAGCCTGTAACGACCTAGCGCCACCCATAGCTGCACGGGTACGCTCGTCCTCAAACGTTATCCCATTTGCTCTGAGGCCATACACTATCCCCTTCTTCTTCCATGTCGCTTGTATCTAGAACTCAAAATTGAACTGAGCAGTGGTAGGTTGGCTACCAATGCTGCTGGCGGACGGTGAGGTCTGACCAGTCATCTCCTTTTATCTCTCTCGAAGCTGCTCATACTCCTCATGCATAACAAAATTCAAACATTAATTGACATTTTAAACATTTATTGACATATTAATAACCCCTCAAGAAATTAGAAAATTAAATTTTTAAAACTTGCATTGACACACCAAGAGTGGTTGGGTACCCACTTCTGTGTGCCCCTACGAGCCGATGTGTAAGGACATGCAAGTCTGCTGTAGATGGCTCTCTATTAAGCTCCTTGGCCTGTATACATGATCAGATAAATATAAGAGCCACGTAATTACATAAATATGTAAGCTTCTCAAACTTGATCTCAAACTTGAGACAATATTACTAGCCTTCAGTAGTGCTCTGTGTGGGGGATCGAACCTCAAATGTGGAGTGCAGCCCCTCTGGCTTCCTCCATTGTTTGGTCATGTTGATTTGTTTGTCTCTTTCTTTGGTATTCTGGAGAGGCACATGCTCAACTTAACTTAGCCCAGACTTCCCCACCAACCCACGAGGCCTCTGCCCCTTCTTATGTGTGATAGTGAACATATCCTCGAGCCCATGCCCGACAGAAACCTTAAAAATCGGTCAAATATGCTAGTGATATTCCAACAACAAGTAAAATGACCACTGCAAATTAGAAGTACTTAATTTTGACTAGCATAAAAAAGGTAGAAATTATCATTCTATTTCAAATTAAAATATCATACCTCGAACTCCCTAAAATAGATATCCCGAGCGATAATATGAATTTACTTCCATGAGAGATATGACTGATCATACCTGCATCAAATGATCTTTGTGATCAGCATTACATGTAGCCTGGAGGGATAAAACATGTAAATGAAACATTAGGTACACTATAAAATGGAATGAAAATTGAAATTATTATACTTTAAAAAAGAAGGTTGACTTATGGGTCGTTCTCCAACTCAATATAGACTCTATCGGTGGTGTCAGCCATCTCAGGTGTTGGAGTCGAGGCACCTGGCTCATCAGATGAAGAATCTGGGTGAAATATGGTGCATGAGTGGGAGGTGGTGCCTGCGAGGGACCTGGTCCGGGAGAAGGGGCAACAGAAGAGTTCCTTGGATTGGTTGCATGAGGGTCGTACTTGTTAGCGCCACTAAGGACCTTCTTCAGCCTTCGATATGTGTTCCCCAATGACGGATGAATGCGAGGTTTTTGTAGAGGCCGAGAACCTGCCATTTGCAACAACAATAAATTTTAGAATTAGTAAACGTGATTAGTATGGAATATAAGACATAAAAGTAAAAGCAGAATAGCGAACCATGCCATGTCTAAGCATAAAATGAAAAAAACAGTAGGATAACTACAATGCAAGAAGCGAAAGTAAAAGCTAGATGGTGCATAAACTAATCATCCATTGGTTAATTACATCTTGAGGGATACCCAAGTATACCTCGATAAAAGGGGTTTAGCTTTTATTATCATGATTTTTGGGAAATAGGTCCATAAAGGGTGGTTATTTCGTATGAGAAAGCCTCATTGCTTCGAGGCTTGCACTAAGCCATCGAGCACACAGTGAATCTCTCACATCCCAAATGGGTAGCGACTTCTCGACATATGGAGCCTACTATATGACCATGATCATTTTGATGGGGATATTTCTATGCATCAAAGCATGTTCGGTCCATAAGAGCATATAACAAGTCATTGTATCCCAAACGAGCGGCGGCTTATCAACATATGGTCGTTAAAATAATATCAATGAAGTCAAAGGAGAAGATATGGCTCAATAAGGGTAGTCAAAGGTAGGGAGGAGTTGTTCTAAGAGGTAGAGGTTGTCAGGTCATGGAACCACAGACTGGTCATCCCAAGCCACTGTGATCCTAAGTCTACTTGGTCTTGAAGGTAGTAAACCCAAGACATTCTAATATCCATGGTCAACAATTCGTGAATAGTGACATTCGCGGTGGATATCAGTAGCCCTAAGGTCAAAGCAACATGACTCTATCCTATGACTATCAGCTAGAGCTCTAAGAGGTGGGGATGCTACAAAAACGAAAGGAGAAGAATAGGCCCAGTTACAAAGGTGTAGAGGCTCCAAACAAAAGGACTTACACCTTATCTAGGTCTTGGAATCTTCTAACAGCATAAGAGCACTAGACAACATCTTAAGTAGAGATCTATGCTGGGTCAGTCGGATTGGAGAAGCACGAGGGTTTTTCCTCGTGACATGTAACATCATGCAATTTTTTACCGCAATTTTAAGCATGGAGACCCTATTAAATATGACTAGGGATATGTTCATGCATGTAACCCATTTTAAAACCAGCTTGAAGGCCATACAGAAAATCAATGACAGGTTTTGAAAGGTCCTGAATCTTTTAATCAAAAATTTTGATTGATCTTAATATTTTATTAAGATTTTTTAAATATAAATAATTATAATTTTATGGTCCTTAGTGAGCCTAGATTATAATTTTTGTGATACTCAAATCACATAAATAAACAATATAAACAATCCAGGCACACAGACACACGAAAAATAAAGCACTCTAAAAATATATAAAGAGGATAAAACACCGCTAGATCGGCAACATATCCCAGGAAAACAATAAAAGTGGTCGGACTATGCATATACATGCATGATCTTAAGTTTATACAAAAATGTAAAATTCAGACTTAAGGTAAGGGACACAAGCTGCCGCTCATGGTTCTCATCACGTGGTTTGGTGCGTCATTCACCGTGAAACTCTTGCCCATACCTTATATCTGATACAAACTCTCATAGGACTCTATCAAATACATTAGAAAGAGAAAATTAAGACATAAGTTGCATAAAACAAGCATTAGCGAGAAAGCCATGCAACACAAAATAGGTAGTGCCTTATAATTGGGGGAGCTAAAGAGCATCTACAAATAAAGGATTATAAAGCATTACTTACTCCCTCATAGAAGCACCCATGTGAGTGTGTATGCAGACACAACATCCTGCAAAAAAAACGCCTTATTATACTATCATGCATATCAATCATGTAAGACACCAAAAGTACAAAAGTGACGCATGACTAACACAAAAGCAAAATAACATAGAACAATAGGTGTCAAAAAGAACTACCCATCATTCTAAATTCTAGCCTAACACACCATACAATGATAAGTGCCCTAACCAACATCTAAGTGCATAATAAGTTTCTAGGTAAGTATGGCTTTGACAGGGTCGCAGCTCCGACCCCGTCCTACGGATCTAAAGAATCTAAAGGGTGTCACCTAAGATGAATTTTACAAAAGAGGTTGGTCTTACATATGGCCTACTTCGCTACATGCATAGTTTTAAAATATGGTGGAGCATAATGAGTAGAAAAATACATATTTTAATATTTTAAAATATGAGCTATAAAATGCAGGCTCTTAACATGCAAGGGTGACACGAGTTAGATCCATTGGATCCTTAGCAAATTCATACTCATGTCAATCCTGATGACTAAACTCATATTATTCATCATAATCAACGCGAAAAGCATTGCTTATTAAAGCATCGCAACCGACACATGAGTCACTCTCATAACTCTTCTGGCTCACTATCCATACAATCATGCAAATGCAAATGTAAGCAGTCAAATGACATAAGTTGCGACAAAGAGTATACCGTGAAGGCGGTGACTCGGGAAGAGATGAGCTTCTTGCGAATAGTTTGGAATCCATAAGAGGTAAGCTAAACTCCTCTAATGAAGAGAAAACCTCATCTCTAACGGAGTCACCAATCTTGCGAATACGTTGGGATTCGCAAGACATGCAAGCAATACTCCTGTAGTGAAGGGAGAGCCTCATCCCCAGTGAACACATAAGCAAAACTCTTTTGGTGAAGAGAGAGCCTCATTCGAAGTGTCTAGCTGTTAGGCTTCTTTATAGAGTTTAGGTTTGACTTTCCATCTAGAAATCTTTCCTACCATACCCTATAGTATAACGGTCCTGATTAATTCATGCCTATCATTTTAAATATCATTGATTCACCTTGTAAACCTTATCTAATCTTTTTAAAGAGCATTTCAAGCTTTTCAAACTATCTCCTGGATATGAGACATACTTTACTGGATAATCAAGCTTTTCTACACCTTTGGGCTCAAATCCTTTAAATTCTTTCATAATTCGACTCATTACACTAACCAAGGGTTTTCTTTAGTGTTCGTGACCTTAAGGATGTAATTAACTACGATGACTTGCTCTTGTAGGAAACAAGACCTTAAAATTAAAATAAAATTTATCGTACACGTGTGAGGTAAGGAAAACCCCTTGTTCTGTAGACCGAAAGAAGACTTTCATCATCCAGGCGATTAGACTCATTTCCAAGGTAATATTCTTTTCCTAGATAAAATGTCTTGTGAAACACACTATGGTGTTGCGAGCAAAAACTTCCCGATCAGGTTCTTTTTCTGTTGACTCTGCTGGGGAAGTGTTTTTCACTCCATCTTTTTTAATGAATCATATTATTAATTATCAGTAGTAGCTCTTCCCTTTCCATATTCTAAATACTATCTTTGGACTTTCCATTTTAGAATGGGTTCACCAATTTCACCCGAATTATGGGTCTCGCCCTATATCCTCTAGGTTTTAGGCTATTAATTTGAACCCCGTTTAACAAGTAGAACCTTCTCTTTCAGACCTATTTACGTGTAGTTACGCACCTCAATTTACTTTAGAGCCGTTTGATTTCACCATTCAAGCCTCGCTCTATCCTTTACCAATTTTTACTTAAACTAAAATTTTCAATTTAAAACACTTTAAGAGTAATTTTAAAACACAGTTCAAAATTTCAAATTAAAATTTAGAAGGCATTTAAAACTAAAACTCTTTAAAATAAAATAAAACTCAAAACCTCAAACTAAAAGATATAAAACATATTAACTCACATTTTTTACAATTATGTTTAAACTCATCAAAGATATAAATTTTGTTATATTTTCATGCCATAACTAAACTATCAAAATTTCATTTGAGAACATAGTCATGCTTCGTTCGATTAAGCAAAAGGTGACACCCGATATTTATCGTGTTCGATCGGAGACGACGATGCCTCTTCGATCGGAGACGACGATGCCTCTTCCACCTCGTGACTTTCGTGTAACAAAGCCTAGTGAGGAGCATAAACATGTAAATCTTTTACAATTTTTTTTTTTCTTAAATGAGAAGTTATAAATTTTACAAGTCTCAAATTCATGACCCAAAAAAAAATGCACTCCGGCCATCACCGGAGATTTGTATTCTTCTCCCATGAACTATTCGGCTAATTAGCAAGAACTTCCCAAATAAGATCGACATCAAAAGAAGGAAACCTGGCCAAAGAGCACTCCCCGCCGTCCATCTCCCCGCCACCTTCACCCACCATTAAGCTCTGTTCTCCCTTTCTATCCTCCCCCTTCTTCTCCCCCTCACCTCTCCTCTTCTTTCTCTGCTTTGCCAGCCGCTGACAAACAGCTTGAATCTTTGAATCCACAGCTAACCGGAGCTCGCGCAGTTTATCCGAGCACTCTGCTCCGGCGTCCCGGAGCTCCGGGAAGTTAAGCCGCGCGTACTCCCCACGAAGCTTGTACGCCGCCCGGTCGTAAGCATACGCAGCCGCCTCCGCCGAATCGTAGGTCCCGAGCCACAGCCGCATCCGGTTCTGCGGCAGCCTGATCTCCGCAACCCATTTGCCCCAATTGCGCTGCCTCACGCCCCTGTAAATCTTCTTCTTCATTTCAGTCTCTGCGGCGGTGGCGGCCGCAGCAGCAACGCGGTTCTGGTAGCTGAAGCGGAGAAGGAGCTCGGTCTGGCGGAGGTAGACGGAGGAGCCGAGAGGTTCTGCGGCGGGGGAGGGAGTGGTGGGGGGTGGAAGGTGGGAGAAGATGGAGTCGATTGCGTTTGTGCCGGAGAGTAGGAGGTTGGATAAAGTGGAGTTGAATTCGCCGGGAAAGGAGGTGGGGGTTGGGCTTTCCATGGTTTCCGGCGATGATGAAGGTAAAAATTGCACCTTTCTTCTCGGATTTGCGGAATCGGAGAGCGGAGGAGTTGTTCTGGTTGGGAATTTGGGAATTGATAAGCTTTTGTGAACTGTTATCTGTTGGGGGATTTTATAGAGGGAGCGGGGCAGAGTGAAAACCAACATAGCTTACAAGTTGGAAACTTTGACTTTTTTAAAAGACTTGTAACAATAAAAATAATAGTAATATATCTTGGTAGGTTTTTAATGATTTGATTTTAGGCCGAGTTATCTTCAAAAGATATAATTAAAATTTTTTGATCATATATCGGCTCATTTATTTCGATGTAATCACAATCTGAGCTAAAATTTGAAATAGTTTTTGAGGGATTAATGATCTTCAAGCAAAATTTGATAAATTCACAGCCTTTAACATCATTAGGGTTGTTAACGATCCGATTTCAAGCCGAATTGGGATCAGTTTGAAAAAAAAAAAAGATTCAATTCAAAATTTTTTATTGTAGTTTGGCTGGTTTAACTCGATATGAGCCAAAATTATAAGTAATTTTCGAGCGATTAACGATCTTCAAGCTAAATTCAGAGTCCTATCTACTCCTGTTTTGTGGGGTCATTTACATACATAGCGCACAATTCTTATGTATTTATAACTCTGACGCCTTTATTTTAAAAATTAAAAATTGGAAATAGCATGTAAATATTTAAAAAATGGAAGACATCATTTCATATGTCCTACATTTCCCTTCAAATAATATTAGTTTGAATAGAAAATAATTTTTTGTTTATTAATTTTCGCAATTAATAAAATTATTTCATAGTTTTTATTATATCTAGTTTTAAACTTAGGAATTTGAACTATTAAATAACAAAATTAAATTTAAATAAAATCAAACTAATATAAAAATATATTAGCTATTTGTATTTATGAATGCTTGAAATTTAAGGGTATTATTTGACAATCTAACTGATTTTTTTTGTTTTCAATTAAATTATATTATCTAAAGATTTAATTTTATTAAAAAATAATAATTTATCACATTGAAATATATCTTTCCCCGGATTATATATATAAAGAGTAAAAGTTATAAAATTTCTTCCTTAAAAACATTCATTTTAAATTCTATATTCTTATTATATCATTTTTAGTTAATTAATTGCACAATATATCTCACAAAAAAAAAATCAAAGAGAGAATATTACGTATGGAATATTATGTATGGAATCTGCATGAAGACCGAGTTTTCTATCTTTTAACAGAGAGAATATTACATATGGAATCTGCATGCATGCAGACTATTTGTATGATTGTGTCGTACACTGTTATATATGGATTCTGTACCTAATGACTTTTTTCTTTCAATGAGATTTTATTTATAAAATTTTTTGGCATGCAAAATATTTAAAATATCATTAAAAGCAAAAAATAATCATAGCCTGATCGTCATATATTTTTAAAAAGGTGAGGGTCACGTTCAATTTTGTTGAGAAGAAAACAATGAGTTACAACATGAAACTTCAGATTACAAATCGATCAAAAATAAACCGAACAAATACTAAAATAAACACCACAAGCAAACGAACTAACAACAACGCTAGCAACAACATCATCAAAATCAGAACACCAAGTCTACACCGCCAGCATCACATCACCAGTAACTTTAACAACAACAATAACATCACAACCACCATAAACATCAACCCGTAGATCTCCAAGCCCACAAGAAACAAACATACGAGAAGCACATAAATCACAGACATAAACTAACAAAACTCAGGAACGAACAATCCAAATGAAAACACGAAAAAAATAAAGAGACGGCTAGTCTAAGCTCAAAACACCACAATCAAACAAACTAAGAAATAAAGTAGCTTCTAAACCATTACTGTGAAGGTCAAAATCAAGTGGTAGGTATTTAATTTTAAATATTTTGTTCATACAAATGCTATTTTTAGCTATTAATTTTAATTTCTATTGCATGCAATGATTGAAATTGTTTGCATGTGAACGCATCTATCAATGCGGCTTCGCTGACTGATTTAGTCCATTCGGAGGCGAAATTTTCGCCATGTTTATATTTTAAAACACCAATAATATTATAGTATACCAATTTGACCTTTCATATATATATAGATATATATATATATATATATAC